TATTATATTGCACAAAGTTGGCTTTTCACTCCATGCCAGGTAGCTATCCCCCAAAACCAGTTTCAGCCCATTTTTTAAAACAGCGTAGCAAATCTTAAAGCCAATGGTGATGTGACTCCACTTCAAGCAAAGCACAAGATTTGGCACATGGTGCCAGTTTCCTTCCTTCTCTTTCTGTAGAGTTTTGCCTACACAGGAGAAATGAAACTCTTTTAATATTGCCTTCACTAGATGAAGTCCACTTATTGGCGCTTTAATCCGTGAATAAAGGTTGACTAATGCGCAATGCAAGCAGTCCTCGGCTTACAACCACAATAGAACCCAAAGTTACTGTTGTAACTGAGACATTTTAAGTTAATTTTGCCTCATTTTACGACTTTTCTTGCCACCGATGTTAAGTGAATCACTGCAGTTGTTAGTAACACAGGCTGTTAAAATGAGTCTGGCCTCACTGACTTTGCTTGTCAGAAGGTCAGAAAAAGGGATCACATGATCCCGGGATATGGCAACCGTCATAAATATGAGGCAATTGTGCCAAGCGTCTGAATCTTGATCACGTGACCGTAGGAATCCGCAACAGCTGTAAGTGCGGAAAATTGTCATAAGTCACTTTTTTCAGTGCCGTTGGGCCTTTGTGCAGTCATTAAATTAACTGTTGTAAGTCAAGGACTATCTGTAACGTGAGTGAAGAGCCCTTGGGCTTAGGTTGCCCTTCCCTTTGAACAGCCTTCAAAAGAAGAAAATTTCACAGGCAAACCAGGATTTCTGGCTTGTACTTGACGGTTTTTGGGGCAAAGTTTTTCAACTATTGGGCTGCCTTACTCACATTGGCAGGAAGTCATTGCACTGGTGCAAATCATTGGAGTGCTTCCATTCCTAGAAAGGCATACGCTGCCCTCGGGGTAGCTTACAACATTAAAATCTAATTTAGTTCCCTGACATTCACATTATCCAACTGAACTTCAGTCAAGTTCGTTGCTTTTTTTTAAACTCTCCACACAAAGTGACATCAAAAAACATTTTCCTTTTGAAAACACAAAACACAAAGACATACGTGCATAGCTCTGTTTCTGCCCATCTCCCTTCCATACAGGGCTCAGTAGCTCCTCTCTTCACCTACGCAATTTGGTGTGGATAATAGAAAACACAAATCGTGCAGACTGCGCAAAGCACGAAAGGACTTTCGGTAATGTTAATTTAGCTCTGAAATGTTTGCTTACGTTGCCTGGCTTGAAGAAGATATGCTCTTCCGGATGTTGCAGAACTACAGCAGAATGTTGTGTTCCTCAGCACAACAGCCTGTCCCAATTGGTGGGGCTTAGCAGATGCTGAAGGGTGTCCTCTCTCTGCCTGATAGGAAAAGGCCTATAGAACGATTTACCCCGTCTCACTGACCCTACAGAATTTGACTCTGCTTGCTCGCGCTTCAGTGACCGTGATCTTGCAAGGAATACAAGCAGTACAGGTAGTCCTGAACTTACGACCGCATCTGAGCCCAAAATTTCCATTGCAATGCAAGACCGTTCTTAAGTGAGTTTTGCCCCGTTTTATGACCTTGCTTGCCACAGCTGTTAAGCAAATCACTGCAGTTACTAAGTTGGTATCATCATTCTGTGGCTTTGATGTACACACGCAGCTTCTGCATCGGAGACAAATGTGTCAATCAACCAGAGAACCAATCAGCTGCTTGGAATTTAAATATAGCTCCAGACAAACAGCCAATTGCAGGACCACACTGGTACACAAGACCCTTATAAGCTAAGGAGAATAGGACAAGATTGATGATGTTACCTAGTCTGGTAACAAAACGTTCAGAAATTAAATTGAAACAAGCTTGGAGAGCAAACCACAAATGTGTCTAATTGCACCTGACCAAGTAAAGTATAAAGTAAAGTAAGAGGCCTTACAACCCAGTTTGCCTCTGCCCCTGGCACGGTTCACCTGGACGTTGGATGTATCAACTCAGTTTGTTCGAGTAACAGTAAGAAACCAGGGTTTAACTTGACTAAAATAGAATTAGAACAGGAAAGTACAGATAGACCTTGACTTACAAATTGTAAGGATCCTGCCCATTACGGTCATAAGTCGTGACAGTCATAAAACAGATCACCCACACAACCGACCCACTTTTATAACCTTTCTTTGTGGCAGACGTTAAGCAAATGCACCAACAATTTCTGGAAGCAAGCTGCTCCACTTGTTAATTGTTCTCACTGTCAGGACATTTCTCCTTAGTTCTAAGTTGCTTTTCTCCTTGATTAGTTTCCACTCATTGCTTCTTGTCCTGCCTTCTGGTGCTTTGGAGAATAGCTTGATCCCTCCCCCCTTCTCTGTGACAGAACCTCAAATATTAGAACCCTACTATCATGTTGCCCCTAGTCCTTCATTTCATTAAAAAGTTGCCCAAAGTTATTTTTAATTCTGTCCTGGTTGCTGCCTATCAGTGAAAGCAAATAAAATTTTATTTAATCAGCATGTAGATTTTTTACTGATTTTGCTCTTGGGGGGGCTTTTCATAATGGCTATGATTAATAAGCATGATTTTAAATAATATTTTTCTTTCGTCTATAGGTGATGAGGGCTTCATCCTTTTAGAAGCTGGGAAATACGAATTCCCTTTCAGTTTTCAACTTCCTCTCCAGTAAGTGAAACCACTTAAACTGAAATGTTGGTTTTCATTGTAAATGTTCTCACAGAATCTCTGCAAACATTTTACCAACGGTGTGCAAAGTGGATGAAACATAGTACTCTCTTCTGGCATGATCCTGATTTAGTTTTGATTTGCATTATATTAAAAGGTGTTTAAAAATAAAAGCTAACAGTGAGTACCTGGTAAATCCTTAAGTGCAACAAGTTGGACTTTAGGACTGTAATAACTTTGTCCTTGATAACGACAGCAAGAAGCAAGGGATGTACAATCCACTGTTCATTTTAAAGAGGCATTATAGATTGTGTTGCAGCAGAAATGCGGATTTAGCAAAGGTGATTTGAATAAAAATGAAATCCTTGTCCCAATTCTGTGAATAGTGTAGCTTTAAATAAATTTGAATGCCATTTGCAGACTTGGTTGGTTGAGAAGGAAGGAAAATACGATTAGGACAATGACTCAAGCGGACCAAATTTGCTGCTAGCAGTAGCATTTTTTTTTTTTACTTCCACTGTTCGCTAAGGTTGATTGTTTGATGAATCAAATAAAGATTTAAATCATTGGGAATGTGCACCAGAAAGTGTACCCATCCAAAAGGGCCTGTTTCCATCTTCCAGAGAGCCTCCAGAGCCCGCGGAGGCCGTTTTCGCCCTCCCGGAGGCTTGAGAAAAGCACACACACACACACACACACAGTCCGCCATGGTGCAGGAGGCCGACTAGGCCACGCCCACCATGGCCACACCCACCATGGCCACACCCACCCAGCAACCAGGCAGAGAATCCGTTGCTAAATTTTTTGATGCCCACCCCGAATACACCAGGGGGTTTTCTGTGCACCTGATGTTTTAGTATTTGTTGCCAGTTATAAAATAAATAAACTATGATAGTGCCACAATAACATGCATTTTACTTGATGTTCAGTATGCATTAAAAGTTCAAATTGGCTTTGTTAAGCCTTCCTGAAGCAACCGCAGAGAACAGCTGCCTAAACAGTCGCCTTTTGGGGTTTCACATTTACCTGACCACAAGTAACGGGTTAATCAATCAATCAGTTTATTACAGTAATAGAGCAGAGACCAGAACAAATAAAAACACTCACTAAATATACAATTAAAAATTCTAGTATAAGATAATACCAACTAAAATCTATATATATATAAAAGCAAAATGCCACTCACGCATCATTACAAAATCTCCAGAACTGTAAAGCCTACAAACTTGAAATTTCGCATGTAGGTTCCTCTTGGCTTCTAGGTGCTCACTAAGAAAGGATTTTTCAAAATGATCATCAGAGCGTTAGTATTTTGTATATTATTATTAACACGCTCTGATGCTAAGGAGTTCTACTCCCTCCTCCCCACCTGAACAGAAATCTGTTCCAAATGCAAAACACAAGCAGAGGAGAGGAGTTTCAGTTTTACTTTCACAGCACCAAGCAACTTTAGTACAGAACAGTTGAGCTAAGCCATGCCCAGGCTCCTTGCTGTCTCACACAGCAAATACTGTTTCAGTTTCCAAACAGCCCTCAACTCTCTCACACACCTGACAGGACACTAGACAGATGAATACCGACGGATGCTGGTAGGCAGAGGCACAATTTCCCCCCCTTTTCCTCCCCAAAACTAAACTCGACGACATAGTTTCATAGCGAAGCACAGGTATCGTGTTAGTCTATGATAAAATTCAGTCTGTCAATTATACATGGTCTAACTATACTAAAATGACAACCCATAAACTCTGGGGACCGTTGTTAGTTTAATAAGGAAAAGGGAAAGGAATAAGTAAGGGGTCAATTAAATAGTCTCCCGAGCCATCATAAGGTGCCAGAATCCAAATTCTGTTCAGCGTAATTTCTTCACCCATAGCCATATGGAATGCACAGGGCAATCTCTCAGGACCCTGAGCATCTCTTAAACATGCTGCCAACCCCACAAGGGACCTCACAAGGAACCTTATCATCAGAGCAGGAAAGCCGTAAACAGTTGCCTAGGATAAGCTGGCCTCTGGAAAGGAAAACGTGCATTCCAATAACCCTCCACTCCAACCAATAACTCCGAGACAGACCATCTTCTCTAAAGTTCTGTTTTAATTGGATAGTAAACTGGCACATCTGGCGAATCTGAAAGTTCTGGGCTTCCTTGCAATAAGTAAAAACTACAAATCCATCCCTTGCACCCATCATCACATCACGTGCCCCAATCACCATCCGTCCCAACTTGAGACTTCCCCTCACTTATGCGCAGAATAACATGACCTTGAGTTAGAAAAAAGAACGTTGTTATATCTAACTACATACACTCCAAGAAATCCCCCCCCCCCACTCCCTTTCCCAGGCTCAAAAAGTGGCAGCGTGGGAGCATCTGATCTCAATATGGCTTCCAAAGCTGACAATGTGCTAAACTTGCCATTTCTCTGTCTCGTGTGCAGCCCCTTGGCGACCTCTTTCACGGGGAAATACGGCAGCATTCAGTACTTTGTGAACGTAACCCTGGAGAGCGCCAGCGGCCCCCGTCAGTCGGTGTCGAGGGAGTTTCAAGTGATCAGCCACATTGATGTCAATTCTCCGGTTCTCTTGGTAAGAGCAGCGCATGTCCAGGAGGGTTCAGGCAGTTCAAAGGAGTGCAGGTAGTCCTCGACTTAACCACAGTTCATTTAGCGACTGTTCAAAGTTACGATGAGGCAGGAAAAAATGATTGTCAGCCTCCAGGAATCCTTTTTCTGCTTGTCTTTCTGGATGCCATAGAAACGGGGAGGAAGGAAGAATAATTGGACTTCATGAGGGGAAGGGTGCTGGAGGTTTAATAGAATAGAATTAGAATAGAATTTGAATTGAATTGAATTCCTTATTGGCCAAGTGTGATTGGACACACAAGGAATTTGACTTGGTGCAAATGCTCTCAGTGTACATAAAAGAAAATATACGTTGGTCAAGAGTCAAGAATCATCAGGTACAATACTTAATAATAGTCATAGGGTACAATAAGCAATCAAATCATACTAGGAAACAGTCAATATAGATCGTAAGGATACAAGCGACAAAGTTACAATCATACAGTCATAAGTGGGAGGAGATGGGAGTGATGAGAAGATTGATAGTAATCATAATGCAGACTTTGTAAATAGTTGGACAGTGTTAAGGGAATTATTTGTTTAGCAGAGTGATGGCATTCGGGAAAAAACTCTCCTTGTGTCTAGTTGTTCTGGTCTGCAGAGCTCTATAGCGTCATTTTGAGGGAAGGAGTTGAAACAGCTTATGTCCAGGATGTGAGGGATCTGTAGATATTTTCACAGCTTTCTTTTTGACTCATGCAGTATACAGGTCCTCAGTTGAAGACAGATTGGTAGTAATTGGTTTTTTTTTCTGAAGTTGGTGAAATGTAAAAGTTGGGATGTTTTTGTGACTATGCTTTCTGGCTTACTGCGCAGATGTAGCCTCTTATCTGTCTAAGCCAGGGGTGTCCAACCTTGGCAACTTTAAGATTTGTGGACTTCAACTCCCAGAATTTGTGGACTTCAACTCCCAGAATTCCTCACCCACTTTACGAACTTTCTTGCCACAGTTTTTTTAAAGAACAACTGTTCATTTAACAAGGTTGTTAAGGGAATCTGGCTTCCCTATTTGTTTGTCAGGAGGTCGCAAAAGGTGATCACACGACCTCAAGGCACTGCAGCCATCCTGAATATGAGTCCGTTGCCAAATGTCTGAAGTTTGATCCTGTGATCATGGGGGATGCTGCAGTGGTTCTAAGTGTGAAAAACGGTCATAAGTCGCTTGTTTTGGTGAGGTTGTAACTTTGAACGGTCACTAAATGAATAGGGAGATACACCTGGTAGGACCCAGAAGAAGGGCCTTCTCCATAGTGGCTCCTTCTCTCTGGAACATCATTCGCCTAGAGATTAGAATGGCCACTTTCTGGTTTTTCATTGGAGAACATTTTGCTTCTCATCCACGAAGCTTTTTCAGTTCTCCTTCTGAAGAAGACCAACCCCGCGAGTTGGAGAAGCTTCTTGGATGAGAAGCGAAACATCTTCAGGGAAAAAAACAGAAAGTCCAGTTGCTTCTTGAAAAAGCGCCTTTGGTCCAACCATGACCTGGATGACCGAGAATCTCCACAGACGTTCATGGATTCTTATTCTTGCCCCATTTTGCAGAGTCCTGTAAGACAGACTCAAGATAAAATGATTGGTTGCTGGTTCTTCACTTCGGGTCCGGTTTCTTTGAGTGCCAAAATCGACAGGAAAGGGTTTTGCAATGGTAAGTATAATTCGCTTCATGCTATTATGTTTGGCTTTGGAATATGCTGCGAATGCTGTTATTTCTGAATTTATAGAAATCTTGGGTTCCTCACAAAAAACGCCTTTAGAAAGAGAAATCTAGTAAGCCTACATACGTGTGACTAAATCAATTTAATTTCCATCGTAACAAGTATGTGCTTAAGGCCCACAGTTATAATGAGTGCTTACATTTTAAAATGTGTTAGCTTAGAGAGAGGAACTAAAACAAGAGGGGGAAAAATAGCCAGAGGGAGCTGTCCTAAAAATGCAAATTTATTTTCATCATAATAGATTAGTTTACAAATGTGGCTTTTTTTTTTTTTTTTTCATGTTGCCTAGTGCAGAATTAGAAATTATTTTTTTCCTGGCGTGAATATTACCGACAATAGCTACTGCATTCCAAGGCATACTTAAGAAAACAGTGTCCTACGAAGGAGGAGGCTGTGACTTGTGTAGGTACAATATAACTTACTTGGTGTTCCTGGGCTCTTTCTTTGGCTCTAGGTGAAGTTATACCAATTTATGCAGAAATTGAAAATTGCTCCTCGCGGCTAATTGTGCCCAAAGCTGCCATTTTCCAAATACAGACTTACGTAGTTCGAGGGAAAACAAAGACTTTTCGTCAAATGGTTGCCAACGTGCGAGGAAACCATATCGCCTCAGGAAGCACAGATACCTGGAATGGCAAAACTCTGAAAATCCCACCTGTCACCCCTTCTATCCTTGACTGCTGCATTATCAGAGTGGAATATTCCTTGGCGGTGAGTATGGTTCCCCCCCGGTTCAATCTGTCGTGACCCATAGATTGTAATTCAAGAGACCATCGATCCAGCCGATTTTGCCTAGACTTAGAAACTAAGAAGAATGGAGCTACTGGGACTTTCATAGGAGACCATTAGAAGATCGCAGAATTATAGAATCATAGAACCAATCTGTTGGAAAGGGCCTTGGAGATGATCTAGTCCAACCCTCGAGCAAGAGCTTCTATACCATTCCAGACAAATGGTATCCAATCTCTCCTTGAAAACCTCCAGTGATGGACCACCAAAACCTCTGGAGCCATTCCATTGGTTAATGGTTCTCACTGACAGGAAATTTCTTCTTACTTATAGGTTGGGTACCCTCTATCCAGCTTCCACTCATTACTTCTTGTCTTGCCTTCTGGCGATTGACGAAACTAACTGTAGGAGTTGACCAGGCTGAGCTCGAGGGAGGGTTCAAAGACATAATTAATCATGAGTCCTTTCATGCTCACAAGAGATCTAAGTCCAGCCCTCCTTCAAATCCATTAATTCTTGTCTACCACCAATTTGCCTTGACTATTATATATAGAAATATATATGTATGTATATGTATAGTATGTATGTATATGTGTGTATAGTGTGTATGTATGTATATTATGTGTGTGTGTGTGTGTGTGTGTGTGTGTGTGTGTGTGTGTGTATGCTTGTTTTCTGAGGTTCTCACAGGTATTTGTATGTGGATCTTTGGTTATTCGGGTTTTCTCCCGTGTAAGATTGGCAGTATCTAGGCAACGTTTCGATGAAGTCTCATTCGTCATCTTCAGGCTTGTGTCTTCGGCTCTGTGCCTCTGAGAAGCACAGAGCCGAAGACACAAGCCTGAAGATGACGAATGAGACTTCATCGAAACGTTGCCTAGATACTGCCAATCTTACGAGCGGCAGAGAGAGAAACCGAGAGAGAGAGAAGAGAGACTTTTAGAGAGAGGGAGAATGCTAAAATTCTCTACAAGGAGCCATGACGGCACAGTGGCTAGAATGCAGTATTGCAGGCTAATTCTGCCGACTGCCAGGAGTTCGATCCTGACGGATTCAAGGTTGGTTCCATCCTTCCAAGGTCGGTAACTATAAGGAGGTGCTATTGCTATATGCCTTTGAAAAATCCTGATTTCCTGTTGCTATAATAATCTGAACTACTAATGGTCAAGGCAAATCGGCCGTAGATAAAAGTCAACGGAATTCAAGGGGGGCTGAACTTAGATCTCCTGTGGCCATGAAGGAACTCAAGACTGGTGATAGCACTTAGACTTATACACTGCTTTACAGTGCCTTTACAGCCCTCTCTAATGCATTTGAAAACCTTAAACCTTAAAAAATATTCCCAAAGAAAGCATTATTTATTTGGAATAGAATAGAATGAGCTGGAAGGGGCCTTGGAGGTTTGTTTGTTTATTTGTAGCTCACCTTTATCATTTTGACAAATAATTCAAAGCAGCAAACATATCTAAACACATTTTCCTCCTCCTATTTTCCCTGCAACAACCACTCTGTGAGGTGCTTTGGGCTGAGAAAGAAGGATTGGTCCAAAGTCACCAGGATGGCTTTTTGTGTCAAATGCAGGACTTTGACTCACAGTCTCCTATTTTCTAGTCTGGTGTCTTAACCACTAAACCAAACTGCCTCCTTTTCATCTAACTTCAATACTGCGGCCTAGATATCTCCATGAGGTCAACAGGAGCTTAACTCAGAAGAGATTCAATATTATAAGGCAACTAAATTAAGTGAGTGGAATAAATTCTTTTGAAATAGGACAGAAAGTTCCAGGATATGGCTTGGAGAAGGGATTCCTGTTGCAAAACTCTTAGGCTTTATCCAATATTACTGCGTTTGTGGGTATTTCCTGACTTTGGCAGCTTGGAAAATTACAAACTTGGTTCCCCTCTGGCAAATGGTTTAAAATGTCTTCTCTCTCATCACAGGTATATGTTCATATTCCCGGTGCCAAAAAGCTGATGGTTGAACTGCCTTTGGTCATTGGCACAATTCCATGTACTGCTTTTTCCAGCAGGAACTCAGATTTTGTCAACCAGCTGGCTATGGATATGAGGTGGCTGGCTCAGGCACTGCCAGATCATCCAGAAGGTGCACCCCTGGGGGCTTTTAGTTTTTTTCTCATCATTTGGGGCTGATTTTTTTTTTTTTTTTAGTTCCAAGGGAAAAACAAATCTTGAAAAAAATTCAAAAGAAATCTGGTATAGTGAAAGAAGTGTTTGACTTGGATTGGAGAGAGTGAAACTGATAAATAATCAATTTGTCTAGAAAAGCTTTTTTGGAAGCCTAGATCAATTTCTGTTTTTCATTGAAATCTTAAGGGATGACTGTTTAAATATGATGCCAGGTTTTCTTGGCACGCCTTTGAGACTGGATAAGATATTTTATGATAGGTTGGATAAAATCAGTTATTTTACTTAAAATGCATACATTGAAATTGTTTTGGGTTTTTTTAAACCTTTGATCATTTGATGATGGTACCAAAAGAATATTTGCATTTCAGAGTTGAACTGTGGAATCCTCAGTATTCTCTGAGCTTGGATGTTTTCTTGCAGATGTTTCATGACCCACCTAGGTAACATCATCAGTGCTAGATGATTTGCACACTCCCAGCACTGATGATGTTACCTAGCTGGGTCATGAAACGTCTACAAGAAAACATCCAAGCTGAGAGAGCCCCAAGACCCCACAAAAACAGCCTTGTCAGGCTTGTCCCAACTTGAATGTTTAGGAAAGAAAGACAACCCCCCCATTCCATTTTGTAGTGAAAGGTTTATTTTTACTAAAGTCAAAAAAGGTTACAGCGTAACCTCCTCTTCCGCAGCCCTCCCCCCTTCATGAGTGTCCAGTGGAATTCGAATTAGATGTTTTGGTAACAGCTTCAAGGTTTGGTGCCTCTTTGGTGGAGTTTCACATTCCATTTTCAAGCTCATGTCTCTGATGGACCCCTCTGGTTCCTGTCACCCTGCATCACCCCTTCAAACCTTCCCATTCCCCCCCCCCACACACACTCCCCGAATTTTTATAGCAGGATGACAGCCAAGCGAAATGGGCTGAAGATGGCAGACTTCACAATTTTTTATTCTGCAATCAGTGGGGTCTTGGTGTTATTTCATTGTCTGTACCAATTTGCACAAAGTGCAAGCTGAATAGAGTATAATCCCATACTGGCTTAATGTGAAACTGGGCCTAGTATGTTGATCCACTGGGGGAAAAAAATAGATCTTTAGGAAAGAATTGAAATACTCTAGAAAGGGAATGGACATTTTTACTATAATACTTTATCCAAGGCAAGTACGTGTTCATGCATTAGTATCAAGTTCTTTAAAATTGGGTAAAATACACCCTCTTTTATGTATTAGTGATGGGTTTAGTTATTCGATTTGTGCTGTTGCTTAAAAAAAAAGATGGAGAGAAATGATCAGTAGCAAACTTTATTTAAATCACGCTGATTTCAAGTAGGGTTTTCTGTCTGTGATTTTTATCAGTTCTTGATAGTTGTCAATCTTTTCACCCAGGAATGGATAGCCTGTTCTTTGAATTCAAGCCACTCTTTAAGGGCTTATGTTGCACTAAAATTATATCATGGCTGCATTTGGGATCATCAGCCATCATAATTGCAGCTCAGGAACTGACTGATATGCAGAAGAAAATCACTGTAGCATGATTTTACTTTGATGGAGATTACATGTCCATGCACATGTGTTTGTTCCCTAGCACCACCCAATTATGCTGATATAGTATCAGAGGAAGAATACTCAAGGCATGTTACTGTTTATCCGACTTCAATGGATTGTGACGAGCAGCTGCGTTGTCCTATGCTCGCCTACATCCAAGAATTCCGATTTCAGCCGCCGCCTCTCTATTCAGAGGTAACCGACACCCTCCAGTGCAATCTTGAAAGCTCCCCAACCGCTCTGTGTCAATTCATGAAATCCAAACAGTAAACACTTCTATTTTTTCTGTGCAGATCGACCCCTATCCTACTGAGGTAGAAGACAATCGGCCGGTTTTACTCACGGATTAAGGGTGATTCCCGAAAACCTTGGTTTGTTTTTGTTTTTTTTTTGACTGCCTCTTCTTAAAGAATTTTTTGTTGTTGTTCAATAAAGCAATTTAAAATTGGAGCAGGCACCAGAAGATCTAAGTCAAAACGAATCTTGAACAAGAAAGGAAGCGTGGAAGAATGTGTTATTGCAGAAATTGGCCCACGCAACAAAGCCTGGACGTTGCTTTGGTCAGATACTTGTTATTTATTACATTTTTATCCCACCCCTCTCCACTATATGTTGACTCTGGGCCATATCTGGGAAGAAAATAAGTTTAGGTTGTGATTCCTCTTCTCATAATGTTCAGGATATTTCGGAGAGCAGTAAGACAACCAGCTACAGGAGGTCTGCCTTTGGGAATACAAATATTTACATCTGTATCCAGATACAAGGATTTTTGCTTGGCACGATCAACTCCTTACCAAGATTAAGTGAGATTTTGACTGCGCAGATTATTCTCTTTTCTTTTTTTCCTGTTAAACACACGGACATATCATTCCTAAGTTTAATAATCACAGAGCAATACTGCGACATTTTTACCGTGAGTGAGTAACATTAAAAATACTCCGTGCAATGTTGCGTAGGCAGAAGCTTGGTCTCATTGCCAGCTTTGGAAATTGCAATTTTACAGCGGAGGCTGGTTTTCAAGAGTCGCTTTGCTCAGATTGCTAGACTTTTGGGGTGGGCTGGGGGGCTGCTTCAGCAATGTGGCCTGATTTGGCGAGGGGCCAGGACAGCCCAAACTTTCAATCAGGACTTTTTCAGCCATTTGAGATGCCATGACTTTAAACCTCTTAAGTAAAAAAAACGATCCTTGGCTCCGTTGTTTGGGATAGGTATAGTTTTATTGCAAGCCAAGCGTATTGCAGTCAAGCAGAGCCCAAAACGTAAGAGTTGTGCACCAAAATCCCTATATGGAACTTTTCCTTCCCTTTACTGTCTCCCGTCGCCGACACCCCCATCAGGTTCGGGCAAGACGTTTTCCGAACGGTTAGTTCAAGCATAGGCGGCTTCTCCCAGCTGAGTGACCTTGAAGCAGCCTCTTGGGGGGGATACATAAATACCTGCTGCTGCTAAGCTGTATATAACAAGGACGCTTTTGCACTCTTTAAAAATTTGCCTAATGAATGATGAAACTCTATAGGACTATATCCATGGAATGTTAATAAAAGATCCTGTAAAAATAAAATAAAAAATCCCTCCCTCCTTCCTGGAATGGGAGTCGAGACCAAAAATATTTTCCACTGAGGCCAACTTGCCTTTCTTAGGATTAACAGAATCCAAGATAGAAGAGCGTTATTAACAGACCCAGATAATTTTCTGTGAAGTTTGATGAGAAATGAATTATAGGTACTGTGACACGTGGGTTTAAAATTTAGCATTAAATTATTATGGTGCAATTCTTTAAATTTGTTTCTCAGGTCAAGGTGCTTTGCCCTGAGGGTAAAGTCTTATCTTCTTTCTTAATTCCTGGAAAATTCTGTACTGTAACCTTTCAGCCTTTGCACTACAACTCACGTCCAGAAATATTGGCCGCATTTCCACCCATAAACCGGTAGTCCTCGACTTAACGACCACAAAATTTCTCTGGCCAAGCAAGACAGTTGTTAAGTGAGTTTTGTCACAATTGTTAAGCGAACCACTGCAAGTGTTAAGTGGGTAGCACATTTGTGCAGTGAATCTGGCTTCCCCGTTGACTTTGCTTGTCCGAAGGTCCCAAAAGGGGATCCCATGACCCAGGACACTTGCAACCATCATAAGTACGAGTCAGTTGCCAAGCGCCTGAATTTTGATCACGTGACCATGGGGATTCTGCAACGGTCGTCAGTGTAAAAATCAGCCATAAGTCACTCTTTTCAGTGCCGTTGGAACTTTGAATGGCCACTAAATGAACTGTTGTAGGCCGAGGACTGCCTGCACTAAAATCAATAGTTCTGCAGGGCAAGAAATGCCCTATTTTCTTCATTGGTAGGCCAGAGTGGCTATTTGTTCTATGGCACTTCTACTTTGTCTTTGAGCTATGGAGGCGCAGTGGTTGGAATGCTGTCTAATTCTGCTGGCTGTTTGCAGTTCAGCAGTTCAATTCTCACCAGGCTCAAGGTCGACTTGGCCTCCCATCCTTCTGAGATCCGTTAAATGAGGACCCAGACTGTTGGGGGCAAGAGGCTAACTCTGTAAACCGCTGAGAGAGGGTGGCAAAGCACTGTGAAGCCATATATAAGTCTGAGTGCTATTGCTATCATTATTGCTATTGTCTTTCAGAGGTTTTGGGTTTGGACTAAGAATATCTATACCCCGAAGCTCTATTGTTGCACATGCGCCCTACTTTTTTGGGATGAGCCTTCTACACCACATGCCCAGATGAAAGACAGGGTGGCAAGTTGAAATGAGGAGGCACATTGTTGACACAGGCCTTGAGCATGTGCCCCGTTGCAAATTTTGACACCCCTGGTTGTAAGTTGAATCCTAAATAGAAGCGCCTTATTCTGGCCTGTGCATAATGACCTGGCAAAGTGTGATAATCTTGTCTTTACCAACCTTTCATGACATTCGAAGAACCCAAAGGAGAGAGGTACTCTCGAGCTGTGTTTCTGAAACCTGGCGAGCTGAAGCCGACTTGCTGGCTGGGGAATTCTGGGAGTTGATTTCCACCTATTTTCAACCCTCCAAGCTTGAGTTTAGGCAGTGGGATCACTACTACAAGTTTGTTTTCTGCTAAAAATGAAGCTGGGTGTTGTTCTGTTTAAAGAGCAGCCCTCTGGGAAAAGAGAACCAGGTTGGTTCGAAGTCCTCCTCTCTTCCTCTGTCCTCATTAAATAAAACTTTTGCCAGCCCTGAGCCCATCCTCCAGGGTCACTTTTGAACGGTGGTTAACGAAACCAGAATTTCGTTTCCTCCAGAAAAGGGGGGAAATGGTTTGAAGGGATATTGTAGCCTCTTGTTTTCTACAGGAGGTCAAGGAACATCCAGGCAGTGTCTTCCATTCCAAGAAGCGAAGTTGCACAACTTGGTTGCACAACTTAAATGTTTGCAAACTGACTTTCTGGCTTTTTAAGCAGTCTTCTAAAAAGGGATGCAAGAAAATGCATTTCAAGTCCTGCCTCTTGCTCTTCAAACCATTAATTCTCTGTATATCTTTTCCAAAAGAGGGAAACGAAACCCTTTAATGGTGTCACCAAGGCCTTCTTAAAAGAAATGAAATGCCTTTTGTTTTGCTTTCCAAGTCAAAATGTAGAGGAAGCCAAGTTTCCTTACTAAACCCCTTTTAAAAAAATTTCTTGAAGAGCAATAATACAGCGGTACAAAATGCACGTCTTAAAAGGTTGAAGCCATGATAATTATTTGGTGCTTTCAGGGGCCGATTAGAATACTAGTAAGAGCTGGCTATTGATATTGCAAAGATCATAGAAAAATAGGAGAAGATCCGCACAAATCAAATTGATGATCTTGAGATCATGTATATCACATGCAAGTCAAGTGTGGCCTTAATATTGTTTAGAAAAAAGAAAAAAGAAAGGGAAAATACTCCTAAGCATGCTGTGCCTCTATAAAATTGAATAAGCAAAGTTTTGCATTCTCTTCTCAGGACGCATTTTGCTTCTTAATCATATATGTATTGCACAATGATTTCTCAATAATGAAAAAGGTATGTTTTGTTATGTTTTCAATTCCTGTGCAAAGCAAGAAAAATAATTAAAATTATTGTACTTTGTATTAAAATGTGAGCCCTACGGATTTCTTAATAAAGAAGAAAGGTTGCTTTTTTGTCTTGATTTTTTTTTTTTTAAGAAAGAAGAAGTTGCACATCTAGGCATAGGATGGCGTGAGGTGGCCTAATCTTTCATAAATTAAAAGCTGTTTCGCCGCAAGCAGGGTGTTCTCCTGAGTTAGCATATGAGAAGAAAGAAAAATAATGGAGTCCATGACATCTCAAGAGAAATGCAAAGCGAAAAAGCAAGTGAACAGAAATCCCTTAAAAATGCCATTAAGTTTGAAATGTAGTCCTTGGAATCCAGCCCAGGAATTGTGTCATTTATGACCTTGATAAATGCCAAGTATCCTAAGACTTTGTTTACGCTTTTGTACGATAAGCCTTCGGGAAATTTTTTTAGAGAGGCCTAAATGAAGACTAGCTTCTGCTTCATTTTTAGCTCACCGAGATGTTAATTTCCCCCACTTTCTGTCAATGTTGATAGTTTATTCAATATATATATTTCACGCTCTTAACATAGATTTTGCTTAGCTTAGCTTAGCTTATTTACATTCATAATATCTTGGAGCCGTGGTGGCGCAGTGGTTAGAATGCAGTATTGCAGGCTGACTCTGCTCCCTGCCAATAGTTTGATCCTGACCGGCTCGAGATTGACTCAGCCTTCCATCCTTCCGAGGTCGGTAAAATGAAGGCCCAGATTGTTGAGAGCAATATGCTGACTCTGTAAACCTCTTAGAGAGGACTTAAAACCCTGTGAAATGGTATATTAATCTAAATACGGTTGCTATTGGAATATTTTAATGTAGTCTACCCTGTTTAACCTGGTCAAAGAGCAGTGATGTGATTCTAATAAAGGATGCTGTTTGAAGGAAACACTTGCAATTTATTAAATTTCCTTCTGACCTCTGTGCAGGTTTAATCAAGCAGAACAGATGTTGCATCTCAGATAAGCCAAATGTTACCCGTGGTTCTGTATAAAAAAATTACAGGAAAACCCAATCGAGTGCACTCAAAAGTTGTGCCCTTTTATGTGTGTTTTTCTTTAAAACTTTGGAGTCTAATCAAAACTGGTGGAAAAGAAGATATCCCCTTAACATGCGGAACACGCTGCATTTCTTCTGCATTTAAAGTCTTTAGTCTGCCTTGTCTATTGTTAATGTTTTTAATATCCAGCTGCAATCATTTCTTTCACTGCAATAAGTCACTGAATTGGACTCTTCTAAAGAGATAAGACTTAATTCATTTTATAGACCTGTCCTTGGTGCTTTGGGGATAATCTTGTCTTTTTCAGCCTCGTTTTTCAGGCTGAAACAGCTCTTAAAAAATCAGAAAATAAAATACAAGCTGAGTAGTCAAGACCTTGTTGATGATCCAAACTCCATCAAGGACCTTGGAGTACTCACCTCTAATTATCTAAGTGCTAAAGCCCACTGTAACTACATAGCCAAAAAGTCATTAAGAGTTGTTAACCTAATCCTACGTCGCTTTTTCTCTGGTAGTAGCACACTACTAACTAGAGCATACAAAACATTTGCTAGACCAATACTCGAATACAGCTCATCAGTCTGGAACCCACATTACGTATCAGATATTAGCACAGTTGAGAAAGTCCAGAAATATTGCACAAGAAGAGTTCTCCAGTCCTCTACTCGTAGAATACCTTATGCCACCAGACTTGAAATTCTAGACCAAGAAAACCTTGAATTATGCAGTCTTTGGTCTGATCTTAAGTATGTTATATAAAATCACACATTGCAATGTCCTACCTGTCAATGAATTCTTCAGCTTCAACCATAACAATACAAGAGCAAACAATAGATACAAACTCAAGGTTAATCGCACCAAACTTGATTGCAGGAAATACGACTTCAGCAACAGAGTGGTCAATGTCTGGAATACTCTACCTGACTCTGTGGTTTCTTCCCAAAACCCCAAAAACTTTAACCTTAGACTGTCTACTACTGACCTCACCCCTTTCCTAAAAGGTCTGTAAGGGGCGTGCATAAGTGCACCAACGTGCCTACCGTCCCTGTCCTATTGTTTCTTTTATTTTTCTTATATGTACCCATTTCATGTATTCATAACTATGTATATACTTATACCTATTATCTTGTGAGCAGTTGACAAATCAAAATAAATAAATAAAAGTAAATAAAATCAAAGTAAATAACTCATCAGAGGTAGCAAATTAAACATGGGAAAGGGAAAAAAATTCCAAAGGCTCGTAGGAGAGCAGGCAGGCAAGACTATTAAGAGCACACAGGAGTTTAATCTAAAGTAGGCAAGGCCAATAAATACTCCTTTGAGATAGAATCCAGGGAAGAGCTGATAATGGTAAATCC